AATTGATTTATATATATATATATATATATATATATATATATATATGGTTATTCTAAAATATCTCATTAATGAAACTGTTTTATTACTGTGCTGAAATTTCAGTTAAAAGATCGTAGTTTTGCTTTGATTTAGTTTGCAAAAATTTTTATTTCAAGAATATTTCTTTTATTTCTTTTATATTTTAGTAAGATTTTCAAAACAAGTGATAATGGCTCGCCGACGCTTTTTTTCTAAAGGTAATGCTACATTTGTTGACGGTTTGGACGAAACAATTAAAAGACGAGTGAGTATTATTATTATTATTTAGTTAATTTTATCAATATATACAGCTTATTTGGTTAATTTTATCAATATAAAATAATAAATTAAAAAAAATTATAAATCATAAATTTTCTAAAAATTTTATGATTCTTGAAAATATTAATTTTGGCTGCAGTCAGATTTTCTATGTTGAAAAAATCTTACAGCTTACAAAACGGCAATCTCAGCTTCAATATTCAAAGGTATTGGTTACTTTAATGAATGATATGCTGGGTAAGGAGTCCGAATCTGAATTGAATGAGGTAGATGGAAAGAAGGCTAAACGATGTACTGGTGATAAAGCAATTGGTATTGATGAACTAGAATATCGTCGACTGGTGAATGAGGTCTGTATTATTGTAATGTATAGTTATAGAAAGTTAAAATTAAGTGGAACATTTTAACTAACTTTTCGTAATGGAAAAATTTATATTATAATTTTGCTTAAAATGTAGTCATCAGTTTTAAAAAGTCAACAAAAATTTGGAAAAAAGATTTAATTTTCTAATTATTGTGCAGACTTACGGGTTTTAGATCAGAGAAGCAGAAAATTATGAACTTATTATTGAGTATGATGAGAGCGACGAATATGCAAATGGTTGGTAAATTTGAGATTTAATTTATTTTTTCTAACAGAATTCTTGTTTTTATTATATGCTTTGTTTTACTGCTTGAGACCTTGAGGCTGTTCAAACTTGTAGTTGAAATTTATAATAGTTCTTTTTTTATCCATGAAATATGAGAAATGTTTTTGGCTGCAACTACTGATATATCCATCATTCCAGTTGTTTAGTTGTAATTACATATCTAAAATGATTAAGATAATTTAGATTATGCTCAATTTATATATAACATACATTTGATCTAAAGCTGTTACTTTGCTTCTTTGACGAATTGATAAAATAAAAAAGTTCCTTTTTTTCCAGACAGTATGCCAGAAATTTCCAGATTGGCAGCAGAGTCTACCAAAAATAAGCTTTCACAAAGTTCGTAAAATTTCAGCTTGTTACTTTTATATTTGTCTCTAGAAAAGAAATTGTGATGTGAAAGAATTAATGTTTACTTCAAGAATTTTATAGAAATAAAAATTTTCATAATGAAAGTAAAATTTTTTTTGCAAAATTTAGATGCGTATTGTACTGACAAAATGGAACTCTCTTCGTGTCTGAAACAAGCTGAAAATTCTCATCCAGTTGACTTTGCAGAATCATTTTCATTCAAAGCACATTCACCCCAACCATCAACTTCAACACCAGTTAGTCCAGTTTGTCTTATCCGATAACTTGTTATTACATTTGCTGTCACTGATTTGTGAATCTTTTTAGGCCAAAAAATTAGCACATAAAGCATATGATGAAAAGGTTTTCGAGAAATTAGATCTAAGCCCTATCGGTTCCAGGAGCAGAATAATAAAAAATACTATCAAAGACAACAGAGAATTGAGTCGAAAGTAAGTTATTTAGTCTATTCCTATAGATTATCTTTTTAAACATATCTATTTTTTCATATTGGTTTATTTTTTACAGTCAGGTTCAAAAAGAAATAAAATCGCAAGTGTACTGTGATACTAATTTGTGTCCGACAATCACTGAAGGAACGAATGCGACAGTACTCCAGCAGTCTCTTTCCCATCTCACAATTCTGCATTCCCCTAACCACTGGGGTTTTCAAAATGCGGTTTGTGAACCTTTTATAAAAGGAAAAAGCACCGCATACTAGTATATTTTATTCATTCATATTTTGTAAAATATTTCAGACACAATATGCGATATCTTTGATAACTTTTCTTCAAACATTTCTATTTAATTAATTTAATAACATTTTCTTCACAGGATTATGTATCTGAGGAAGGCCTTTCATTATCCAGTGTCAAGAATAGTTTGTTCATTTTTTCTTTTCAAATAACTAAATCAATTTATAGTTTAAAAAGATTGGTGATTTTACACTGTTAAAGTAATGAGAAAGTTGTACAAAAATCAGTTTTTTTTTCTGGCAATTTTCTTATCATTCCTTAACGCCTTTGCGTACTTTATTTTGTGAATTAATTAAATATTGTTTTTAAATGGTATTCATAATTTGTAAGTTATTTCATTTATCATCGGTAATAATTTCAGGTAATAAAAGTTTATCTCTGTGGGATAACGCTTTGGTATGGATTCTTTTTGAGTTTATTTTTTTCCTTGACTGAGTTGTTTTTACTTTTTTCAGCGCAACAGGGAGAATTAAATGTTTCGAATAATTTTCACTATTGTCGACTAAAACCGAAGCACAGATATTATATAATTTTGTCTTCATTTTGATCCAAAAATGTATGCCATTCTATTTTAGGACAATGTACCATTTTATTTGAACGGTTTTTTGTGGTCTGCTGCATACGCTAAAAACCGTGATTACAAGAAAGAACTTCTTCATCTTTGCATTCAAAAAGATATCAAGCCTTGGCGAATGGGAAAAGCAGTGCTGTTAGTTGTGTTATTTTCTTTTCGTATGAATATTATTTCTTTCAAACCAAATAGAAAAAAAATATAAAGATAAAATCTCATAGTTTTGGATATGAAGGTGACTGAGTAAATGATTATAGTGATTTATCCAGTGCAGTAAAACTTGGTGAGGGAACATTCGGCGAAGTCTTCCGGGTCCTATACCATGACGAGATCGTCGCTTTGAAGGTAAAATCTAAAATTTTCAAGCCTTTTACTGTTTATTATTATTTACTTCTTTAAGGTGATTCCTATCGGTTCCGATACAATGGTGAATGGTGACAATCAAAAATCTTTTCGTGACATTGCCGCAGAACTAATTGTTTCAAAGGAACTGTCAAGTCTAGTAGAAATTGAGGATGGATATTCTACGCAAGGTTTTATTCGTTTGAAAGGTGCATTGGTTGTTAAGGGTAAGTTATTGAAGGATAAATATCTTTTGTGATTGACAATGCAGCATGCAGCAGTTAATTAATCAGCCATCTCGGAAGCAAAATATTATAGACTCGATCTTCAAATATATATATATGCTCTCGGCCTTGCAGAAATGCTGAGCGTTGACTCTGAGCGGCTGTGTTCAACGAACATAAAATCGAGACTAAAAGGAAAAAGTCCGCATCTGGAACCATAAATAATAACAGTATAAAAACAGATGTGAAGGCCATAAAGAACATGCTACCAGCGTACCGGAATCTGGTGCAAGCATGAACACGCTTAATGCAATCGTCCGTGGGATTGAAACCCCACGAACCAAGTGGCCCAAGAGAGGTGCTGAAAGCGGTCCTTGACCGATTTGGAAGAATGCCGAGAGGAGAATGGCCATTGTGTCGGTCTCTATAGCGAGAAGTTTTCACGTGCTATTATCCTCAAAGAACTGAAGAGGCAAGCGAATTCTGTGATCACCAGTACTGCAGGTCGTCCGTACTCACGAAACGGTTCTTGGAGGAGTCCACGAAACGTGTCATATTACAAAATACTTCGAAGAAAATACGCTACACCAGTCTAAGATTTATCTAGATGTGAAAGAAAACTATCTAGTGCTGATGCAAGAAGCACAGGGATGTGAGATAACCAGACAAAGTGGACGCGGAAAATAAGATAAAATAAGATCGGAGAGCGTGAAACCGCTCATACTTAGAGCAGCAAACCAAGCGGCGGGTGGAATATGCTACACATAATCCTCTCAAGTCAATGACTGATATTGCAAGGCAGCTCCAGGCAGCATAACGTTGTTATGA